CACACACACACACACACACACACACACACACACACACAAAATTGAGGATTGTGTGGAGTAATGTTTATGAAAGTAATCCCCAATGAGAGAATTCTGCAGGACTTAGGGTCCTATGCTTGTATGGATGACATCTGTCAGCAAAGCAGAATGAAAACCAGTGAGGCCACAGTGACCTCACAGCATGCGGGTTGAGAACAAGTGGGTTATAACATTCAGCAAAACATTGTTGCTCACTCCCTTGTCTTTAATTTTTGCAATCTTGTGCGGGTCTGAGAACAAGGGGGTTATAATATTCAGTAAAAACATTGTTGCTAGGCTGGGCACTGGTGGCTCAAGACTGTAATCCTCGCTACTCAGGAGACTGAGATCTGAGGATCGCAGTTCAAAGCCAGCCCGGGCAGGAAAGTCTGTGAGACTCTTATCTCCAATAAACCGCCAGAAAATCAGAAGTGGCACTGTGGCTCAAGTAGTAGAGTGCTTGCCTTGACCTGAAGAGCTGAAGGACAGTGCCCAGGCCCAGAGTTCAAACCCCATGACTGACAAAAAAAACAAAACAAAACAAAAAAAAAAAAAAACAATATTGTTGCTCACTCCCTTGTCTTTAATTTTTGCAATCTCTGTCTGCTGCATAAATAGTATCATGGCCCTTAAAAGTCTTAAAGCTTTATGCTTTGTGGAAGGGAAGAAGAACTATAAACTAGCATTTACTGACCACCTTTATGTGCCAGAAAGACAGCTTTCATAGATGTCATAGCAATCCTGGAATCAGCACCAGGGGGCACCAGAGAAGAACCTCCAAGAACTTAAACTGAGAGGTCAAGGCATTATGGCTCAGGACAGACCCCCTTAGCTGTCAGTCATCTTAAAGAAATAAATGTCTCCTAGGACTGTAAGACCTGAAGGGACAGAATAACTGCAAAGACATTATTGAGAGGTGTCAGGCTTTTTCTTGGGTTATTATTCAAAAATAGTGACTAGACATGGGCATGTAGAGAATAGCAAATGTAGAGGCAAGTAAATACTGGTTGGGCCATCCAAGTACCACTGAGCTGAAAGATCCCATTGGCTAGGCAGTCCCACTTGAACGAAACTCATGCAGTAATCTTAGCCTTGTGTTCTTAAACATTTGACTCATCTAACTCCACATTCCTCAGGCCATCTTCTGTTTAGGACATGGCATCTTGTATAGGCCTTCCTTGAGGAAAACACACTGGCCATCTACACATTGAGTTCTTTGTACTGGCCAATGTGACAATTAACACCTCTTAGTGACTGAATGGAGTGGTATTCTTGTCCCTTAGGACTGCCTAGATTGGTTAATGTTGACATAATATTTCTTTTCTTTCTTTTCTTTTTTCTAAATGTCTGAGACTGGGACTTACTCTTGTTACCTGCTGCTTTCGCTCCACCAAATGAGCCACACTTCTAACCTCAATGTTGACACATGTATTTTGACTACCAGGATAGCCTTTTCTCTTCATAAAACAGTAAACAAATACCCAGAATTTATACATCATCTGGAAAATGTGGTGACAAGAAATCTGGCCTGCAATGCCCTCTAGGGACCTCCCCATCAGCTGACTGAGCCTTGACAGTCTTTTACTATTTTAATCATGGTATCACCTTATGAAGCCTCATAGACAAGAACTAGTTGGTAGCCCTTCAGTGATAATAAGCATATTCCTCTATGTGTTGCTGTCCCATTTTATACAGAGGAAATTGAATACAATGAAAGTAAAATAAATGGCTCAGGTTCATACAAGTGAGTTGTACATTCGGATCTATCTGATTCTCAAGCCTTTTTTGTTTAGTGCGCCACGTTGAGTAATACTTGGTATTTTTAGATACCTCACAAATGGCAAATAATTTTCAAAGCCAGCACTGAATTTACAGCTCACAAAACTTGGCTTAACAGGGGGCTGGGAAGGTGGCTCAGTGGTAGAGTGCTTGCCTTGCATGCCTGAGGCCCTGGGATCAATTCCTCAGCACCACATAAGAAAAAAGCCGGGAGTGGTGCTGTGACTCAAGTGGTAGAGTGCTAGCCTTGAGCTGAAGAGCTGAGGGACAGCGCCCAGGCCCAGAGTTCAGGCCCCACAATCGGACCCCCAAAAAACCCAAAAACTTGGCTTAACAATGACAATATACAGACTTGTGCTGTATCTTGCCCCAGGGTCATAAGGGTTCCTTGCAACTGTGTGCATGGCAGGGGAGGGAACAGCAGGATCTAAGGAGCCTGTATGTATAAATGAAGGAGGTCCCTAAGGAGAATTAAGAAAGGGATAGTTTAAAAAGTACAGCCTGGCCCTTGTGGCTCATACCTGTAATCCTAGCTACTCAAGAAGCTGTGAATCCAGAGGATTTTTAGTTCAAAGCCAATCTAGGAAGAAAAGTCCATGAGACTCCATCTCCAAAATACCAGCATAAAATAGGGCTGCAGGCATGGCTCAGGTAGTAGAGTATCCACCAAGTAAGCAATATGAGTGAGCTGAGAGATTCTAAGTTCAAACCCTGGTACAATAAAAAAAAAAAATCAGCCAGTTACTTGGTGTATACTGTCAAGAGCCTTTGTGACAATTTTTTTAAAAATCACATTTTTAGGCTTAAAGAAAGTAGAGGAATGTATGGGTGGCCAAGTACTTAGGAACTTCTACCAAGAAGCCAATTTGTAAGTTGCATAAACAATAAAATTTCCTGGCCCGTGGGTCAAGACTGAGGAATTTCCATACTACTGAAAAGAACATCACCACATCCTTCAGTGAGCTCTTTTAGTCTTTGCTAAACTTATTCTTTCCACCATGACAAAAACACTCTTCCCTGGCCATTCCTAAGCTTCTGGTTCTCTTTAATTTTCCCTGGAAACTAGGGTACATAAGATGAAGTATTGGCATTATTTTGGCTAGGTACACCAAAGCCTGCAAGCCCAAGAGCCTTACCATTACCTGCCATTCTTTTCACAGAGGAAGATGCTCATGTTCCTAGAGGTTAGAGTGCCTGGACCTGGTTTAGTATCTTTCCCAGTGTGAGGCAGCCAGTGGGTCTGACAAAGCCCTCCAGCATCTTCTGTGATGTTTGGTGTGTTTTTCATACACCCCCTGCCCCAAGGCTGCCTTCTTCAAAACTATTCCACGTTGGAACCAGAAGATTGGCCCAATTGGGGGCTACATCTCAACTCTTCCAGAGAGCAGTTCTAGAAGCAGTCCCAGAGACAGCTTCATTGCCTCTGGATCATGCTTCTTCATCTTTTTCTTCTCAATGTATAAAACACACAAACTCATACTCATGGAGATACCATAACCAGCTAGTCCTTTGGTTTAGGTAATTTTCAAATAACCACTTCCTTTAAAAATTGACTTGTGTTTAGTTTATTCCTGCTAAGTGAGATCTAGTAGCTGACTATTGTTTTATGGTGTGGAAAGTTTGTTATGTTTCCTGTCTTTGCTATTACAACAAAGATATTCCTCTTTAGACAGATAATTCCTCTTAATTAAGCCACTTCTTTAAAAGTCTATTTGTGTTGTATTGAAAGGCAAAGACAATTGGTCAATAGTTGGCCAATGCAGTTAGTTGTCAACTGTTTCTATAGAGTGAAACACAAAGGGAAGGCTGACTACATGCTCTCTCTGTACATCTGTCTCCATGCTGAGCTGGAAACCAGACTCTTCATATATTATTGATTTAGATGACATTAAGTCTCAAATCCAATACAGCAAAACCTTGAACCCCTTAATGTATGAAAATAAAGACGTATCTCAACAATACACCAAATACAGAATAGTACTCAAAATATCCTGTAAAAATCATTCCTAACAGCCTTAAATGGATAAAGGAGCCATAACTTCATCTAATTAGTTATATAAGACGTAATTCTTAATTCTTTACCTGTAGTCTGTTGAATTCTAATATTCCTATGCAAAATTCAAGTCTTCATAACTTATTCATGGTCCCTCATCTATAATCCATCCAATAGAAAAAAATGTTGCCATGTGAAGTCATTAAGTAATTTTTTTTTCCAGTCCTAGGGCTGAACTCAGGGCCTGGGCACTGTCCCTGAGCGTCTTTTGCTCAAAGCTAGTACCCTAATACTTGACCCACAGTGCCACTTCGGGCTTTTTCTGTTTATGTGGTACTAAGGAATCAAACCCAGAGTTTCATGTATGCTAGGCAAGCACTCTACTACAAAGCCACATTCCCACCTCAGTAATTTAATTTTGATCATCCAGTACATAGTACTTAAGTTTCTGGCCTTAAAACTGTTTTGTAGTTGCATTATAATGACATTAATATGGTAATTTCTTAAATTGTTGCTCACTAGGCAGTCACTACCCAACCAGATATGGCTCACCTGTTTCTAGGTAGTAATTAGAACTGAGAGAAGGCACTGTACCTTGATGGTGACAGGCCAATGACTCAAAATGAGTATTTTTAAAGAACTGAAACTTCAGGGATGGTTAAGAATGCTTTTCTATAAATTTTCATGTTGAAATAACTTCCTTTCAAAAAAGGTTCTGTTTTGCAAATTTTTAAAACTAGAAAAATATCAAACTATGCCTTTCTGAGCAGGATCCCATTATTACTGGAAAAAATTGTCCACTCCACACAAGAAGCATACTTTCAACACCTGTCAGTCCGGAAAGCATCACCTTGCTCATTGTGTTATTACCCCTGCCTGGAAACCTGTTCGGTGGACCAAAGTCCCCACAATACAAATAATGTATCTTAAAGCAAAATGCACTTCTGCCACGTTAATGCTACATTTAAAGGAAATCACTCTCCCTAATGCAGTTACTTATTTGCTCTTTGAAAACAACTGTCTCCAGTATTGATATAAACAGCAGCTTGAAGATGGGATAATTCAGAAATCTTACAAGCAACGCAACAGTACCTGTGCCTATGGCTCCAATTCTGATATCACTTGGGAAGGACTTGCTGTTTTCAACCAATCTGGAAATAGATGTGCAGAAACATAGAAGAAGGCAACGAGGAAAGAGGCTTTTCCATACCTGTTTCCACTGTTTCAAAGCAAACGGCTGCCCCTTCCCATCATTCCCTGCAGGGTTAAGCAGGCCAATGGAGTCAGGTTACTTCTCATTTGTTACTCTATCAGCCAATGGGTTATCCCTCTGGAAAACACAACAGAAAGAATAAAACATGCATGACCATACAGTCTGCTATTACACTGCATCCATTATACCAAAATATGTGCATGTCCACTCTCCATCCCTTGTGAGCTAGTTAGTGCTCAGCTCAGACAACAATGTGGAACTGTGCTTCCAGAGACTTTGCATTGAGGAAGTACAGCTCCTGACCTGCACAGTGGGAGTCTTCAAATGTTATTTTCTTTTTGTTCTAAGGCCAGCACTCTTTGGTTGGTTTAAAATTGCTAGAAAAATCATGCAACATTAATAAAGCAGAAGTTTTAACTACTCACTACCTTAATCTAGCTCTCTGTGTGTGCTTATATGGAGTGTGTGTGTGTGTGTGTGTGTGTGTGTGTGTGTGTGTGTGTGTGTGTGTGTGTGAGTCCTGGGACTGGTACTGTTCTTGAGCTTGTTTTTCTCCCTCAAGTTTAGCCTCTACCAATTGAGCCACAGCTCCACTTCTAGCTTTTTGGTGATTAATTGAAGACAATTGTTGCATGGTTCCCTTTTCCGAACCTGGAGCCATCAGATCTTAGCCTCCTGATTACAGGTGTCAGCCACCTGGGCCCAGCTAATCCAACCAGTTTTACATCTTCACACCATCCTAGACACTTCATCAAGAGATGATACTGTGTCACTGTAGTTTAATCTCTACTTTAAACAATGCTCGTGCACTTGTATAAAGCCACCAGAGAAAACAGTTCCTATCATTTCAAGTAAGATCTATCAACTGAAAAAAGGCTGAAGGAGAAGGGGCTACTCCTGAGTTTGGCTCCCAAGACTGAAGGTGGAATTTGTGGATTGCTTAGGCAGGGTGAGCAGCAAAGCCAAAGGCTACACTGTGTAAACATTAAAAAACACTTTTGCCTCTAGAGGGCGTTAATTTTTTAGGTCACAAAGAATAAAATACTGTTTCCCACAGCTCCTGATTTCTAACCAGAGTTTAGGAAGCAGTCCATTATCATGTGGAGAAGTAAAAAATAATTTTAAAAACCTCTAACGTTATTAAAGAAGCAACTATTCAAACTCTGGCAACTGACGAGCAGTGCCCTTTAATGAAATACAACAATCAGTTATATCTGAGCTCCATCTCCAGCTTTCGGTTTTTGAGATAGAATCACATGGTGTATCTCAGACTGTCCTTAAATTCAGGCCTAGGCTGGCCTCAAACTCCAGCTTCTATTGTCTCTGCCTCTTGAGTGCTAGGATGAAGATGTGTTGCTCTACCACATGAAGTTTAGTTGGTATAGCAATAAGAATATGGGTAGGTTTTTTAAATTCAGTTTGAGAACAAGTATTATTAGTAAAGCCTATTTTTGCACTATTAGTTATTCTTCATAAATCACTACTTTTTAAGTACTGTATAAACCTTTAACTTTAAAAAAGTAAGTATTGCAAAATGTTAAAGTGAAACTGCAACTACCTTTTGTTATTGTTGTCATTGTGTGTATGTATGTGTGTGTGTGTGTGTGTGTGTGTGTGTGTGTTGTGCCAGTCCTGGGGTTTGAACTCAGGGTTTGGGTGCTGTCTCTGAGATTTTTTTTGGCTCACTCTATCACTTGGGCCACAGCTCCATTTCCTGCTTTTGGGTAGTTAATTGTAGACAAGAGTCTCATAGACTTTCCTGCCTGGGTTGACTTGGAATTGTGACTCTCAGATATCAGCCTCCTGAGTAGTTTGGATTACAGGCATGAGCCACTAATGCCAGCTCCTTTGGGGTTTTATGGAGACTTCATTGAATAAGCATGACGAGAACATGGATGGACAACTATGTAGAAATGTGTCTGATCCAGTAGTAACAGACTGGGGGGGGGGGGGTGGAGGGGAAGGCTGGCAAGGCTTATGTGTTCATATACAACATTTTTAAATAATTTACTTTTTTGTTATTATAAAGGTGATATACAGAGGAATTACAATCACATGAGTCAGGTAGTGAGTACATTTCCTTTCCTACAGTATCTTCTGCTCTCTCACTCTCTCCAAGTCCTTCCCTCACATCTCCACCCAAAAGTTGTATATTTGTGTAGCAATTATATTTTAAAAGAAAGTACAGGGCTGGGAAGGTGGCTCAGTGGGAGAGTGCTTGCCTTGCATGCATGAGGCCCTGGGTTCGATTTCTCAGCACCACATATGCAGAAAAAAGCCAGAAGTAGCACTGTGGCTCAAGTGGTACAGCGCTTGCCTGGAGCTGAAGAGCTGAGGGACAGCGCCCAGGCCCAGAGTTCAGGCCCCATGACCGGCAAAAGAAAAAAGAAAAAAGAAAAGAAAGAAAGAAAGTACAAATTCTTATTCACCTATTTGTTGATACTAGTCATCCACAGACCCAACATTGGGCTGAGTGCTAGAAGTTCACTAATGAATGAAAGCAAACATAACTCTAGATTTGTTATTGGGTCAGAGTTAGAAAGTTGAGACTTTGGAGATAGGCTACAAAATGATCTAAGTCAGTGAGCAGAGAAGATTAGACACAACTTCCTTAAAGACAACAGAGACCTGAAAAGAACCACATGAAGGGGCTGCTGGTGATGCAAATATATTCCAGGCAGGTGGAAAAGGCTGTTCAGAGCTGGCTATTTAAATGGAAGAAATGCAGGATCTGTCACATGTTCTTATTACACAGGATGCTACCACAAGTTTACATCGTTTCTTAAGATCAATTATCAAAAGATCCATGGCGTCATATTCAATTTAGGCAGTAAGACTTTCCAGGAGTGAGTTTCAAATGAGGTAAGTAAGAGAGAGTGGCTAACTCACGGAAATAACTCCTTAATGTGAAAAGCACAGAAGTAAAGTATTGTGAAATAAATAATTCACATTTCAAAAAGGAGAACTTAGAAGTGTGAACTCTAGAGGTAAGCCCAGGCCTTTCCATGAGGTAGAAAATTGGAGGGACGATAGGTAGAGCGGTGTTAAATGTTAATCTTATAGGTTCTATGATATGAGCTCATTAGGACATGTACATAGCTTCCTCAATTACAACATTTGGTTAGGATTCTTATAAGAATGACAGGTACACATCAGCACAGAATCTTCAGTAGCATCATATAAAATATTGGATTCATCCAAAACTCTGTAACTCATGAGCATGTGGAACATGGTATCTCATTTACATTTCATATCTTAGCAGGCTCATTTTTTTAAACCATGGCATAATACAATGAAAATAGCTCTAAAAATACATTCTAATTTAAAGGCTGCCCGACATAATGGATAAAAAACATTGCTGCCTTTGTGGTTAGCATTTTTGTTCCCTCTACAACATTTGGTTTGAGTATGAAATGTCATATGTGTTGAACACTAGGTCCCCAGCTGGTGGCGCTATTTTGAGAGGTGCTAAGACCTAGCAATTGCCATGGAGTGGGAGGGGGTGGAGTGGGGGAAGAGGAGGAGTGTCCTAGCTACAGGAAGTGGGTACCTGGGAGTCTGTCTCTGACCACTGAACCTAGCCCATGCACCCCTTTCTCCTCTCTCTCCCCTCTCCCCTTCTCCTCCCTCTCCTCCCCTCTCCCCTCTCCTCCCCCTCCTCCTCTCTCCTTCTCCTTCTCCCTCTTCCTCCCTCCTTCTCTCTCTCTGTCTCTCTCCCTCTCTCCCTCCCTTCTCTCTCCCTCCCCCTCCCTCTCCCCCCCCCTCTCCCCCTCTCTCTTCCTTTCTGCTTCTTTGTCTCACTGCATCTGTTACCCAGAGAGCTTTTGTGATGCTTTGCCCATGGTAAATCAACGATAAACTGAATCTTCTGAAGCCAGAAGCCAAAATCAACCTTCCCTTGTTTTGTCGGATATTTTGTTTCCAGTGATAAAAAAAAAAAAGTCTGACTAATCTGCCATTTCTGCCATGATAGTCACAATACATGGAACCACTGCCATGCAAGCCGATCCTTGTCCTGTGGACCAGTCTGGAAATAGAGCCAAGAACAGGGGAAGAACGTGACTAAAAGGAGAGTTTACTGCCAAGGGAAAGTAAAGACTTCTAGGAAGAGTGAGTGGCCAGACGTGGATCACTGGTAGCCCGTTTGGGCAGCTTGAGGGGGTGAGGGTCCTCCTCAGGACCTGGGGACTAGGAAAGAACGTTCCATCAGGCTTCTGAAAAGTCACTTCCAGGAGTGGTGCTAGGCCCCTGAGGACTTTCGGTGATGCTGGTGTGGTTCCCGGGGGAAGGTGCAGCACAGCGTCAATGCCATTAGCCACGGCTTGTTCCATCACCATGACTTCACTTTGTGGGGTTAAATTTACTTTGTTTTTTGGTTGTGTTGGGTTGGTTTGTTGTGTTTGGACTCCTTTTGTGGTGCTAGAGACAGAACCCAGGGCCTTGCTTATACCAGGCAAAGGCTGTGCCACTACACCAAATTCCCTAGCCCATTCCCATCACTGTAAATTTCCAAGGGATAAACAATCTGGCCAAGAGTCATTAAGAGTGTTAAGTGAATTCAGGAGAAAAAAAGGACAGGTTCTTCCTTGGATCCTGTGAAATGAAGCAGCTGTCAACTACCGCTATAGCAGTAGCTTAGCTATAACTCAGCCAAACAATTCTGGCAGTTCAGTTAAATTGTTTATATGTTTCAAAAAAAGAACATTTGTTTGTGATTATAATAAAGACTTTAATGATAAATTTTTCAAAAAGAAAAATAATAGCCCTTACTTTTAACTTTTCGAAAGTTAAAAATATCCCCCTTAAGGGAAGTTACAAGTAGGATGAAATTTCCATGTGGCCAAGTCTATTAATATGTAGGAAGTATAGAGCTGTAGGGGCAAGAGTTAGAACAGACTCTCTCCAGAATCACTTAGGAAGTCTTTAAGTGTCTACTATCTTGAAAATGAACTTTATAACTTCTGCGTGGTTGTGGGGGGAGGGAGGAATTGGGGAGGTGGGAGAGGAAGGGATGGTGGGGAAAAGCAAAGGAGGAGGTAACAATGCTCAATAGGAATTGTCCTCATTACCTTGCTCATGTAATTGTAACCCCTCTGTACAGTATCCTTACAAT